GAACTTTGGTGAGTTCTCACAGGTGTGGAGGCGGGTGCGTGATTTGGAGAAATCACTGGTGGTACAGAGTGGAATTTTGCTTTGGAGACACTGGAGACACTGGATATTCAATTTTTTTTTTTATAAACTTAATTTAACACTGGATACGTTACAGGATATGGTAGATTATGAATTGAGGAGCATTTTTTAGCTATTTATGAACCGAAAAATATTGCACTTTATTGATATACATTTTTGGACTTACGAATGAATCCGATTTACAAACGCTCTCCCGGAATGGAACTCATTCATAAGTCAGGGACTTACTGTATTGCCAGGAAAAGGTTTCCTTTTTAGGACACTGCACTTAACAAGATACAAAACACCTTACTGAAGACAGGGTAAAAGTTAGGGATGCCCTGATACCACTATTTTAGCAATGAGTATGAGTCGATACCAGTATCGAGTACGAGTATGTGCCAATACCAATAACCGATACCTTTTATCAATTAGGGAGATGAAGATGAAGAGGAGGAAGAGCCTTCATCATCTATCAGTGTGATGTGTAATATTAATATCTGGCTGAGACCAAGCGATGAAGAAACACAGCACTCCTAACACTCCTCCTCTTCCAGTCCCATCTCCTTTATCCCATGTCCTCTTCCTCCCCCAGTCCTATCTCCCCCATCCCATGTCCTCGCCTACCTCTAGTCCCATCTCCTCCATCCCATGTCCTCCTCCTCCTCTAGTCCCATCTACTCCATCCTATGGCCTCCTCCTCCTCCAAACCTATCTCCTCCACACCATGTCTCCCTCCTCCTGCAGTCCATACAACATGTTTGAGTGCAGGAGTAAGTAACATAAATACAGTGTATTGAGTGCAGAAGTCAGGATGAAAGTAGGTCGTGAGTGTAGGGAGAGAGAGAAAGAGGACAGTGAGAGAGAGAGAGAAAATAAGGGAAAAAGAGTGGGTGTGTTTGGAGGTTGGAGGGGGGGGGGGGGCAAAGAGAGAAAAAGAGAGGGAGAGAAAGGAGAGATTCTCTATGGCATTACAAATCGCATGTCAGACTCTCACATAGCACTACAGCCTGTCAGCCTTTCATATATATATATATATATATATATATATATATATATATATATATATATATACAGTTGTGTTCAAAATAATAGCAGTCAGACATCACTAACCTGATCAGTCACTGTTTTTGGTAGAAATGATATTTCTACATGGCACATAATTTGCTAGCAGGTGTAGTAGTAGAGTAATAGAAATCCAGCAGACCCAACAGTCATGACATGCATGCTGCTGTTTCTGTGTAACTGAATCACTAATGAAAGGGGCATGTTCAAAATAATAGCAGTGTGGAGTTCTATTAGTGAGGTCATTCATTCTTTGAAAAACAGGTGGCAATTATTGCCCTTATTTAAGAAGGAAGGCAGCAAATGTTGTACATGCTGGTTACAGTGCATTTCTCTCTGAAATTCTGAGGAAAATGGGTCGTTCCAGACATTGTTCAGAAGAACAGCGTACCTTGATTAAAAAGTTGATTGGAGAGGGGAAAACATATAAAGAAGTACAGAAAATGATAGGCTGCTCAGCTAAAATGACCGCAAATGCTTTAAAATGGCAACCAAAACCTGAAAGACATGAAAGAAAGCGAAAAACTACCATTGGAATGGATAGAAGAATAGCCATAATGGCAAGGACTCAGCCAACAATCAGCTCCAGGAAGATCAAAGAAGGTCTAAAGTTACCTGTGAGTACTGTTACAATTAGAAGACGCCTATGTGAAGCCAAGCTATCTGCAAGAAGCCCCTGCAAAGTCCCACTGTTGAAAAAAAGACATGTGCTGAAGAGGTTACAATTTGCCAAAGAGCACATTGACTGGCCTAAAGAGAAATGGCGCAACATTTTGTGGACTGATGAAAGTAAGATTATTCTTTTTGGGTCTAGTGGCCGGAGACAGTTTGTCAGATGACCCCCAAACACTGAATTCACTGAATTCACTGTATTCACTGATCAGTTTGAATACATCAGAATACTTGAAGAGGTCATGCTCCCTTATGCTGAAGAGGAAATGCCCTTGAAATGGGTGTTCCAACAAGACAACGACCCCAAACACACCAGTAAACGGGCAACATCTTGGTTCCAGACCAACAAGATTGACGTTATGGCGTGGCCAGCCCAATCCCCGGATCTTAATCCAATAGATAACTTGTGGGGTGACATCAAAAATGCAGTTTCTGAGGCAAAACCAAGAAATAGAGAAGAACTGTGGAATGTAGTCCAATCATCCTGGTCTGGAATACCTGTTCACAGGTGCCAGAAGTTGGTTCACTCCATGCAACACACATGTACAGCAGTTCTCAGAAACAGTGGTTATACAACTAAGTATTAATTAAATGATTCAAAGGAAAGCAAAATCTTCAAACATTTTTCAGTTTATATATTGAATGTTTGAGTTTGTAAAGAAGAATACAAACACTGTTTTTTTTTTTGAACAGTCTAATATTCACTTTTCTTCCATTTTTTTTTTAGAGGAACAACACAAATTTGATATATTTTTCTTCATGTTTTGATTTGGAAAAGAATGTGTAGTGTTCCCAATGCATTTGTGTGTATGGAAATAAAAGCTCTTAGAAGGATTTTGAGTTTCTTCACTTTTTTCAACACACTGATATTATTTTGAACACAACTGTAGATATATATGGGCAGCACAGGGTTAACAATGTGGTTCTGATTTTATTACAGCTGTGTCCTAGTCCACACTCACAGGGCAGCACAGGGTTAAACCATGGGGCTACATCTAGCCTAACAGATAAGCTATATAGCACACAGGCAGTACAGGGTTAAACAATGGGATTGTGATTAGCCAGTCATGGTGCTTCTCTCCCTCACAGGCAGCACAGGAGTTAACACTGGGATCCTGATTAGCCAGTGTGTCTCCTCTCCCTGCAGGCAGCACACAGTTAAACACTGGAATCCTAACTAGCCAAAGAACTGTGCCTCCTCTCCCCTCCAAAATGCAGCAAGAGGTTAACACTGGACTGCTATAGCTTAAGTCAGCTCTCACATGAGCAGCACAGGATTAAACCCTGACTTCCTTACCAGCCAGTCAGCAGTGGGCTCCTCTCCCAGTAGGCAGCACATGGGGTAATGAGGGACTCCTCTGTAGGATGGCAGGTTCGTGCAAATGCCTAGTATCGGCACTGATACAGATACCAATTACGGTGCAACCTTTTTAAAAGTAATGAAAAACAAATGCATCTCTATTGATCGGTCCATAGCAACCTCTTAGCAAACTGTACAAAATGTGGACCAAAAGTCTGTAGCAAGGAGCACTGAGTCCCCTTTGGTGAAACTCCTCAGACCCCAGATGAAACTCTCCTCATCCACCAGCTGTAGTGAGAGCATCCCTGGGAAGGGTTTCCACGAGCTACAGCAGAGTAGTCTCAGATGTGGCCCAAGGGGTGTAGAAGTCACAATCATTTTCCTGTAGCTTAGTGGGTTGCAGCTGCTTTCAGGCCTTACGCTGGGCTGGCTCCTTCCCTGTTGACAGGCTATCCTCTCTAGGAAATTGTGGTACAGTGGAGATCCTTCTGTATGTGTCAGCCTGTAGGTAGGCCCCCCCTCCCTTAATATTCGCTGGACACTTTTTGTATAAAGTCACTTTGATATATTTGTGCACTTAAGGGTTGATTTACTAAAACTAGCAAGTGCAAAATCTGGTGCAGATGTGCATGGAAGCCAATCAGCTTCTAACTTCAGCTTGTTCAATTAAGTTTTGACAAAAAAACTGAAAGCTGATTGGTTTCTATGCAGAGCTGTACCAGGTTTTTCACTCTCCAGGTTTAGTAAATCAACCCCTCTATGTGAAAGAATCCTGGGCTGATGATTGCATTTATGAATATAAAATTGCTTTTCAATATGTATGACCAATGGAGTAGGGATAAGTTAAGGGACACAAACAAGTTAATTTTTATGACATTATTTGTATTTTTTTAAATTTAGTTTTGTACACAGAAAATAATTGGTATCTAGTAAATGATGTAGGTCCTTAAGAACCACTGTGTATATTTTCATTAAAGCATTTAATACCTACAGGTATTTGTAATACAGCTGCTGGGCTAAAGAGGATTCATGTAAATTACCCGTATTGGCACAGACTTATTATAGTCCCTAGATCTGGTGCAGAAATTAGTTCTGATATTGTCTGCAGCCATGGATATTTTGGGTATATACAAAATAGAACTATAAATAAAACTATAAATTTGGAGGATGTATGCAACAAAAGTTAATATTATAAAAAAAACTATTATTAAAAAATAATAAGGTATACAGATGGCAGGAGGATATAGAAAAAAAATTAATATAGATTCAAATGAATCATCGCCAGATAGAAAGATAGAACCAGATAGAACCTCAAACACAACATACCATCAGAAGTAATACTTTGAGGGATTCCCATTAAGAAGATAGAGAACATTATGGCAAAAATAGGTGGCAAGAAATGGAGCATAATAGATTCCCCCCAAAAAAAATATGGAGTGAGATTTGGCAAACGAAATTTGGAAGGAAAGGGAGTATCCCACATATTCCTAAAGAAAGGAAAGAGAGAAGGGAAGAAGAATAAAAAGGAAAAAGTATTCTAGGAGAAGGTGTTTTTAATTTAAGTGATGTTACAATCATGGAGAATGAATTGAAAGTGCTAGAACTGGGGCTGAAATATGCACAAAATAGGAATAACAACTAATTTTACACATACATTGATATTCAAAAATTTGTGAGAAAAATAAATATACAAACATTTTGAAATAAAGCACCCCAAACTAATGAGGGGAATGATCAAGATATGGATGGATACAAACAGTTCTTTAACCACCGCCCGCCATATAGTATTATGACGGACGCAAGGCGGTTCTCTCGTTCTGGGAAGACGTCATATGACGTCCTCCCATTCTAACCGCGCATGCGCGGCTCCTGGAGCACGCAGCGTGACGATCGGCAGTGCGCTGTGTCCCTCGGACACAGCAGATCACCAATCCATGGAAAGAGCCGAAGATGTCGGCTCAGTCATGCGATCAGCTGTGTCCAATCACAGCTGATCACATGTAAACAGGGAAATGCCGGTTATCGGCATTTCTCTCCCAACGAGCTGTCACAATGACAGCTTGTGAGGAGAGGAGAAACGGTAATCAGCATTCCTCGGAGGGGACATGTACACAGATCATCAGAGCACTGATGATCAGTGTGCCCTGATGATCTATGTAGCCCCAGCAGCGCCAGCTGTCAGTGTCCATCAGTGCCAGCTCTCAGTGTTCATCCATGCCACCTATCAGTGCCACATTTCAGTGCCCATCAGTGCCACATCAATGCCACATATCAGTGCCCATCTGAGCTGCCTTTCAGTGTCACCCATCAGTGCCAGTCAGTGCCACCTATCAATGCCTGTCAGTGCCACCTATCAGTGCTGCCAATCAGTGCCACCTATCAGTTCCAGTTAGTGCCACCTATCAGTGTGCCTCAGTGCCGCCTCTCAGTGCCCGTCAGCGCTGCATATCTGTGCCGCCTAACAGTGCCAGTCAGTGCCACCTATCAGTGCCAGTCAGTGCCGCCTATCAGTGCCAGTCAGTGCCGCCTATCAGTGCCGCCTATCAGTGCCATATATGAGTGCTGCCTATCAGTGCCCATCAGTGATGCCTGTCAATGCCAATCAGTGCCACCTACCAGTGCCTCCTCATCAGTGCCCATCAGTGCCACCTATCAGTGTCCATCAGTGCCCATCACTTCAGCCTCATTAGTGCACATCAGTGAAGGAGAAAAATCACTTATTTACAAAATGTTATAACAAAAACTAAGAAAAAATTTTTTTTCAAAATTTTCAGTGGTTTTTGGTTTGTTTAGGAAAAAAATAAAAGCCCAGAGGTGATTAAATACCACCAAAATAAAGCTCTATCTGTCACAAAAAAAATGATAAAAATGTCATATGGGTACAGTGTTGCATGACCGCACAATTGTCATTCAAAGTGCAACAGCACTGAAAGCTGGAAATTGGCCTGGGCAGGAAGGGGGTATAAGTGCCCTGTAGGCTAGAGGTTAAAATGCATCTGTTTTTAATCCTAAAACAATAGGATATCAATTAATAGAAGTTTTTAAAACTTTAGTGGAAAGTGATGTCAAGAAAATGGAAGTGAAACAAAAGAACCTTCAAACATATAACAGCAGGTAAAAAGGAACTGGAAACAAAGAAAAGCTTTGTTATTAGATCTGCTGACAAAAGGAGGGGGAATAGTGGTTTTAAACAAAAAGACTATGAGTAAGAAATGAGGAGAATTTTAGCCACAGTAGACATTTATACAGCTTTATCAGGAAATCCAACTCAGAATTAATTTAAAAAAAAGGATTGGTCAAAAAGGGAGGAAATTAAAAATTTGAAACAAAAAAGAAGCAAGGTATTTAGCCCCAAAAGCTCCCAAAATCCCCACAATATATTATGTGCCAAAGGTACATGGAAACAGTAAACATCCTCAAGGGAGGCCAGTTATACGTGGTATTTACTCCCTATTTTTCAAGGTAGGGGAATACATACATTTTAATTATGGCAACTATTGATATAAACTCCCTATATACAAATATAAACAAAGTGATGGAATAGAAGGGGTTAAATGGGCCTTAGAGAATAAATTAGGATTAATAATTAAACAAATAGATTTCATCACTGAATTATTGGAATTATTCATGAATAACAATTACTTTTGGTACAAAAATCAGTATGAACAAATAAAGGACATATCCATGGGAGCAAAATATGCACAGAGTGTTGCAAATCTTTTTTATGGTGAAATGGGAAGAGGAGGAAATATATGGAAAATATGGCCTCGATTAAAGTCCTATAAGCATTTTTATAGATGATATCATGATAATTTGGAAGGGCACATCAGAGATTTGGAAGAATTTGTTGAATATACAGTATGAATCGGAATAGATAATCATTATCACAGGAGAGTGAAGTTGGGAAAAGTTATTTATTCAGTGATCTTCATAAAAGGACAGAAAATTTGTAAAAAAAATAATTTTAAAGCAACTGACAGAATCAGTTTAATTCCACAACCAGCTGTCATCATCCAAAATGAACAGCGAATGTTCCCAAAGAACAGCTTACTAGAATTAGGAGAAATTGTGAAAAGTATGAAGATATTGAAGAACAAGCTAAAATGTTAATTGTTAGATTTGTAAAGAAGGGATATAATAAATCTATCTTTGAGTTAACAAAAAAGGAAATGAAAAATAAAAACAGAAAATCATTCTTTAATCCAGAAAAAAAACTGTGAAAAATGGGATATGAAAATGTACATTCATAACCGACTATATTAGACATTATAGAGAATTGGAAAAAGTAAAAAACATTGGCCAATTCTATTGCAGTATACAATTCTCAACAAAGTATTACTGAATAAACTAAAAGTTTTTTTACAGAAAGCTTGACTTATTACGTACGAAATTAGTGCATAATGTGTTGGTTCCACTTAGTAATAAAACAATATCTTTTGAATGAAAATTATTTTTATAAATGTAATAGATATATACCATGTAGAATAACAAGGAAACAGAACAAGAAGGAACAGTTTAACCCAAAATGCACCAATAAGACAGCATATGTGATCTATATACTGGAGTGTCCATGTGGACTCCAGTACGTAGGAAACACTATTAGAGGGTTAAGCACTAGACTTGGAGAGCACATAAATATTATTAAAAGAAATTTAGAAAACACAATGGGGAGATTTATTAAAACTGGAGCACTCAAACTCTGGTGCAGCTGTGCATGGTAGCCAATCAGCTTTTTCAATTAGGATTTGACAATAAAACCTGGAAGCTGATTGGTTTATATGCAGAGATGCACCAAATTTTGCATGCTACAGTTTCAGCAAATCTTCCCCAGTATGTCAAGACATTTTAGAGAAGTGTATAAAAGAGATCCCAGCCTTTTGGTATTTTATGGCATAGACAGGGTAAGTATCATTAGAAAGGCTCTGATCTCACAAAAGAAGTCTCAAAAGCAGAAATGAAATGAATTTATGAACCTGACACACACTGCAGCCTACAGGTCCTAATGTTGATATTGCCAAACTGTTTTTTTAACAAATTTTTAATCTTTTAAAAATATTTAAAAATGTTTAATAATTTTATAAACTTTTATAATATTTAGTGATTTTAAAGGTATTTAGGTATTTTGGTGAAATTTAAGTGGGGTGTTTTAGTAATGGTTAGCACTGCATCTTAAAATAGGGTGTATCACTTTAAGAGTAACGGTCGATGAACAGCCATGGGAGCTTGTGTCAATTTTATTGTTCTGGTGTGGCATTGTATAATTCAGTGATAGTGTAATGGAAATATGCAATTAGGATTGATGTTTGTAAATTGGTAACAAAGTGGAGAGGCTACGTCTTGGTGTCCATCTGTCCCTGAGGATGCTAATACGATAAAACACATAGAGTGGGGCTTGTTGGACACATGACCCCTTAACTAGCGCTGTGTAAATTTAAAAAAAAAATGTATTCGTTTCAGTTAATGTCAGTGTAAATATCAGTTAGTGTCAGTGCCCGTTAGTGTAAAAGTCAGTTGATGTAAGAGTTATTGTCAGTTTGTGGCAGTATTCAGGTCAGTGCTTTTTAAGTAAGAAAAAAGGTTTTATATTTAGTGTAAGTATGAGTGTTAGTGTCATTGTCAGTGCGTATAGGTAGGACAAATGTCGAGTACAAAGAACAAATAACGCACCCATATGTAGTATTGCCACAATTGTTAGGAGTAAGAGAATTTAAGTTTAAAAATGATTTGTTTTTTACTATATTGGGACAGTTTTTCTTTCATAATAAAACAAAATCAGGTGATATCTATTAACACTTACCACTAAATGAAAGCCCAATCTGTCCACAAATCAACAAGGTATAATCCACCTGTATGCAAAAGTAGTTACAATGATATTTACAGTTATACTAACACATGTCAAAGTTGCAAAACTGGGTTTGGGCAATAAAGTTGTTCTAAAGGCAGATTGTTTTTTTACCTTGAAACATTTTATACATTAAGGTAAAAAAATCTTCTGTTGTCGCCCCCTCCTCTCCTTAAACACTTACCTGACATCAGTCTCAATCCAGCTCTGTCCCTGCTGGCAGCCGTGCCTTGCTTTCTTCCTGCATTTGCGGGCTTTACTGAGAGCAGTGGGAGTCATTGGCTCCTGCTGCTGTCAGTTAAATCCAGTGAGGACCAAGCAGAGGAGGAGCTAAGTCGCACTGTGTGTGTCTATGGATGGACACAGCCAGGCTCGGGAGCATGCCCACACGAGGTCCCTCATAGAAAGTGGGTTGCTATGTAGGCACTTGGAGAAGAGGAGGAGCCTAGAGCACCAGCAGCGAACTCCTGAAGAGGAGGTTTGGGCCACTCTATGTAATATTATGGCAGAGAACAGGTAAGTATAACATGTTTGTTATTTTAATTAAAAAAGTTTAGCTTTACAATCACTTTAAGGTTTGTTTTGTCCCTGGTCGTGATATGGTTAATTTGGAACTATTGCTCAATATTGGGATAACAGCCCATCAGTAAAATATCCAAGACAATGTGAAACTCTGACCTCTCCTATTATCCTTTACCTGCAACAGATAATCTATTTAAACCAGGCAGGCTTTATGCCCACTGACGTTATAAGGGTTATACACTGATCAGCCATAACTTTCAAGTGGTTGCAAACCTCAGAAATTAAATTTGAATAAAGCATATTCCTCTGTGTGTCTCAATCCAGGGCCCTAAGTGTCATTTATGTCTGCTGTCTCCTTCCTCTGCTATCATCATGAGTCACTTATGATGGGTTTTCCTGACACCAAGAGAAAAATGGTGACAGGAAGGGCACAGCTTGTGATTCACAGCCTCAGTTCTGTTCCTCTGTGCTTTGTAAAGCGGGGTGTATCCCTTCCCTCCAGTCAACCCTCAGAGCTCTCCCCCCTGCTTTTCAGAGCTGAGAGATTATGTTTAAATTCTGCACCTTGAATGGATATAGGCGAAAGATGAAGGTAGATAAACAGGTATAGCTTATGTAGCAGGATTTGTTTCATCTCTGTGTATCACCTGATGCCAGTCATTTAACTTGGAATATGTAAAGGCATAGCCGAAGACTAGTCAGTTTGCTCATGCTGACCCGTGTCCCCAGCTAAAAATGCCTACAATGGGTATGTGAGCATAAAAACTGGACTACAGAGCAATGGAGGAAGGTGGCATGATCAAATGAATCATGTTTTTTTTTTTTCCATCTTCATGTAGATGGCTGGGTGCGTGTCTGTCGCTTACCTGAGGAAGAGATGGCACTAGGATGCAGTATGGGAAGAAGGCAAGCCAGCAGAGGCAATGTGATGCTTTGGGCAATGTTCTGCTGGGAAACCTTGGGACCTGCCATTCATGTTTATGTTACTTTGATACGTACCACCAAACATTGTTGCTGACCAATTACACCCTTGATGGAAATGGTATTTCCTAAT